GATGTGGCTGTGTCCATGTAGTATGCTGTTTTTAAGTCCTCTAGGTATAGACTGAGGAGTGGAATGGCTAGGTCAAATGGTGGTTCCATTCCCAGGTTTCCAAGGATTCTCCATATTGCTTTCCATACTGGCTGCACCAATTTGCAATCCTGCCAGCAATGTTTGAGTGTGCCCTTTTTCCCCCCACATCCTTGCCATTTGTTTGTATCCTTAATAGCTGCCATTCTGACTGGAGTGAGATGATATCTTAGAGTAGTTTTGATTTGCATTTCTCTAATTGCTAGAGATGTTGAACATTATTTCATATATTTGTTGATTGATTGTATATCTTCTTCTGAGAAGGTCTGTTCAGGTCCTTGGTCCATTTACTGACTGGATTGTTTATTTTTTTGGTGTTAAGATTTTTTAGTTCTTTATATATTCTAGAGATTAGTGCTCTATCTAATGTGCATGTGGTAAAAATTTGGTCCCAAACTGCAGGCTCTCTATATTCACCTCACTGATCATTTCTTTTGCTGAGAAGAAACTTTTTAGTTTGACTCCATCCCATTTATTGATTCTTGATTTTAACTCTTGCACTATAGGAGTCTTATTAAGGAAGTCCCAGGTGGGGTGCCAAAATTTGTATCCAAAAGCTAAATCCCTGTCCCCACTACCAATTTAATAACGAGAACAAGGTTTTGAGGAAAAGGAAAAAGAAGGTTTATTGCTTTGCTAGCAAAGGAGAAACACAGGGGACTCTGGTCTCAAAGGGAGTGACTCTGCTGATCAGGAAGGACAGGGGGGTTTTAAAAAATTTTTCAAGGGTTACATTCCAGTAGGGGGTCCCAGGGATCACTGATGAGTATGCTAGTATTCACTTGTTATTTTGGGAGATATTCACTTCCCAGATCCTCAGCAGGATCCTCTTTCCTGTAGTGGGTGTGTTCAAGGGAAGTTAACTAGGGGAATCAAAGATAACACCATCTCCCTAATCTTGTTAGGGAGGGAGAGAGGGGAGAAGAGAGAAAAAAAACATTTTTTATAAATAAACCTTACAGCAATGAGGGCTACATTCAGAAGGTGAAGGGACCTCACTTTTACTTTTCAAATATTTTATATCTTGGTTGAATTATCAGATGCAAACCCACAGACAAAAGGCTGCCAGTATATGACATTCTGGAAATGGCAAAACTACAAAGATAGCAAAAAGGGCAATGTCTTACAGGGCTTAGAAGTCAAAAGGGAGGGATGGATAGGCAAAATACAAAAGGTCTTTAAGGCAGTGAAAATACTCTTTAAGATACTATAACAGTGGATGTCATTATACATTTGTTTAAATCCCCAGAATGTACAACTGAACTACAGATGTGTCGGTGTAGTTTCATCACTTTTAACAGTGAGGGACACTGATAACAAGGAGGCTATAAATATGTGAGAAAACAGGGTACATGAGAAACCTCTGTACCTTCAATTTTGCACCTAAAACTGCCCTTAAAAATATACTTTAAAAAGTGCTATGAAAAACATTTGAATATGTCAGATGGGCATGTCAAAGCTGTGGTCTACAAAGAAAGAAAATGTTAATGGTTGCAAAATTAACAAGTCTATAAAATCACCACCACCACCTTTAAATCTGAAAAAGACCAAAACTGGTTAACATATCAGAACAATTTGATCTTTGGACTCCATCATAAACATCACCAAGGTACTTGCTAGAAATAAAAATTTTCAGGTCCCATCTCAGATCCTGATGAATGTGAGCGAAACACTATACCAGAAAGTCCTATATTATATACCTCAAAATTAAGAAAGATATATGTACCTAATCAGAGAAATAGATGATTGCAAATTACTATTGTTAAGTAATAACTGGTAAAAGCCACTTTTAAAACATTCATAAGCAACCCCAAGCTATAAATGAGACTTGTTAAAGAAGTTTAACTACGAATGCATAATTTGAAAGTAAGGCAACATTCACTCTTTAGAAGCAATTTTATGTGTTGGTCATAGTGAAATACATTTTTGTGCAAAATGAACCAACATTGTCACTCAGATCACTGGAAAGATTCACTTTTCCTACCACAACCCTGGTAATGACAAAAGAAGGATTTCTTCTTACACTAGCCCTGGTGGTCAAAATAGATATATTTTTCTCCTCCTTTCTACCAAGAACAGAATAGAATGGAATGAGGTAAGGAAACAGGCACAAATGGGACAGTATGGAGAAAAGGAGGAGCACAGCAAAGGTAAAGGGGGGGAGGCAAGTATGACAGCTCTAACAATTTGTATATCTTCATATCAATAGTGTATATGTTTATATTTATTTCCACAAGTTGGATTTAGGCTTCCTGCTTTAAGTTTATGACGCTTATAGTCAAAGAATTTCAGAACAAGAGATATGAACATTAAGATTTTCAACTAAGGGTATGAGGTTGAGTAGCTCAATGGTAGAGGACTTGCCTAGCCATGTGTGAGGCACTGGGCTCAATCCTCAACACCACATAAAAATGAATAATAAAAGGTTAAAAAAGATTTTCAATTAAAAAGAACAGCATTAGTAAGGTGATAGTATAATGAGAAACCGGCTATTTACAGTCTCAAAGTATTATCTCACAAGAAATATATTAACAACAAAGGGAAAAACAATAAGTGCATAATAGAGAAACCTGGCTGCAAAGATCTTCAAAGTTAACACCAGTACAGAAACAAATTGACTTCACATGCTTCCTGATATGATGCACTGAGAAAGATCTAACATTTGTTTTTGAAGCACATACTAATTTAAAATCACTCATCCTTTTTCAGACTATAAGGATCAAGATGGTGAAAAATTGTTATACTTCCTTTTCATATGACTGTATTACACAGTAAATGATGTGTGATTATATTTAACTACTTAACAGATTTCTTTACAATACCTTTTCACAGTGTAAATTTGTGAGCATTAAAAAAATCTACTAGCCAAAAATTAAAAGCCAAGTCAAGTTGGACCTAGTGGCCCACACCTCTACTCCCAGCTACTCAGGAAGGCTGAAGCAGAGGATAGTGAGTTCGTAGCAAGTCTCTACAAACAATAACAAAAAAGTTAACAGCCAAGTCAAATATTTCAGGTGTCAATGGATTAATATATCACAGCTGTTAATCTTTCTATACACCGTTCCTGTTATCCAAAATTGAAATCAGATACAATTACCAAACAACAGAGAAATCTATATTTGTGCCTATAACAATTTCTAGATCTTCTTTTGGGTGTTTTGTTTTACAACTGAAAAGAAAGAATTTTTTTTTTAGCTTCAAGTCCTTGAGTTGGGCAAAGTTTTCTTAAGGTATAAAACATATTTTTAAATTGGAATTAACCAAAATTATATTTTTCCTTTTCAAAAGAAAACAAGATAAAAAGGGAAACCAGACTGAAGAAAAAAAAAGTTCAAAATCACATATCTGATAAAGACCTTATACGCATACCACAATATACAAAGAACTCTTAGAACTCAGAAATAAAAGGACAACACAATTTAAAAACGGGCAAGTAACATACACTTTGCTAAAGATTATTACAAATGACAAATACGCTCATGAAATGATGCTCAACATCACTAGTCATGAGATGAAGATTAGAAGCAACAATGAGATACCACAACATACTCACTAGAATGACTGAAATTTAAGAGAGTGACAATACCAAGTAGTGGTAAGGAAGTCTCAGACAATTGCTTCCATGTATGCAAAATGGTATAGACACTTTGAAACAGTTTGAACAGTTTGGCAATTTCTTATGAAGTTAAACATAAACTTACTGACGTGACCCAGCAATCCCACCCCTGGTGACACAAAAATAAGTACCTCCCAAAATACTTGTACACGATTCAAAGCAGCTTTATAAAAGCCCCCAACTAGTAACAACCTAAAATCCCATCAAATGGTGAATGGATAAGCTCTGGTATGTCTATATAATGAAGTATTATTCAGCAAAAGGAACTAATGTCATATGCAACATCTTGGATGAATTTCAAAAGTATTAAGTGGAAGAAATCACATACAACTTCATTCATATGAAGTTCTAAGAAAAGCAAAAATATAGTGGGCAGGAAGCCTATCAGAGGTTGCCACGAACCAGCAATGTAAAGAGGAAACTGAAGGATAATGAAAATAAAGGAAGTAAGAGGAAACTTTCTAGATAATGAAAATATTTCACAGATTATTCTGGTGATGGTGGTGATAAACATACAACTGTATACATTTGACAAAACTCTTAGATCTATAAATTAAGATTGAAGAAACTAACTATATGTAAATTTTACCTCAAAGTGGATTTTAAAAGTTTAAAAAAAAACAGCATAAAGTCATGCCTGGGGTGGTGACTTAAAGAGCATACAAAGGAGACCTTGAGTTGCTGGTACTATTCTATTTCTTGGCTTGGGTGTTAGACACGTGTGTGAGAGTTTGGGAAAGGTCACTGAGCTATTTAGTTATTATGTGTGTTTTTTTGTATATGTTTTATTTTAATAAAAAAGTTATTTAAAAAAATTAAGGGGCGAAGAGCATAGCTCAGCAGTACAACATATGCTTAGCATGTGTGAAGCCATGAGCTCAATCTCCAACATGAAAAAATAAGTTAAAAAAATAAATAAAACAATGTGTCCTCAACAGTCTGATATTGAAAGGGCTTCATAAAAATAACAGTAATGATTCAAAACTCTAGTCAAGAAAAAGAGTAGAAGACAAGGGAAAAGAATACAAAGTAATCATTACAAGGGGATTCAAAAGGCGGCCATTTGTCAAAAGCTATTTGGAGGCACAGAGAGAGGAAGGAGGTTTGAATAATAATTTAGCTAGATTTTTTACACAGATACATGTCTGGTTAGGACACAAAGGACTTACCACAAACCTCAATAACCTTTTCTTAAATTAGGTTTACTTTATTTTTGTTCCTAGAAATGTTCGTAAATACAAATATATTCCAAACATTTTCATTCCAACATTTAGTTTTCTACCAGGAAGAAAAAAATCTTACTAACCTCCTTCATAAATGACTTGCCTATGCGCACCACTTTTGCAAATAAAATGGGATCGTGAGAAAGGTGGGGACCGAGGTAACAGAACATATTGAATACATCTCTCCTCAAATCTTCAAAAGTTTCTGCCTGCTTTGGTGCTTTCTTGTTTTGCAAAGCATTAACAGGTGAGCCTTTAGCACCTTTAGGAACGCCAACTCTTTAAAAAGAAGAGAAAAATTATAAATATATATACACACAATATCTGCCATTTTAAGTTAAAATGATCATCTAAGTAAGTGAATCTTTCCTTGCTCACATTTTCTTTCTGTATTTTAATCATGCCTAACTTTATTATACCAAATGATTCTTAACTGTAGAAAAACAAAAATAATATTAAGAATAAAATTAGAGTTCAGAGGAGAATGGTTCAAATTAACACCTTAAAAACAGAAATCAGAGAAAGACAAATCAAGTAATATTTAACTTACATCAAATGAAACTGTTTTAAATTAAACCTGGCCAGTATAAAGAATTTGGATATGAGAATGGAGAACAAAGTAGGAACACCTCAGATATAAAACTGAAACCAAAAAAGAATATAGATATAACAATACTAATTCATATCAATAAAACATACCCCAAACTAGGCCCCACTACCTAGGACTGAGTAAGGAGGAGGATATGGTACAGAAGGTTAGCTGCATAATAAGAGAATATCATAATAAAAAGGACAGCATGCCCAGAGTTCTCATCTTCTGAGTAGATGTACCACTATGGCGTCACAGAGGGTCACTCTATAAGAAAAAACCTTCACGGTCCATGGCCCAGGTGGCACTGAAGGCAGCAGCCAGTAGCTACGCATCAGTCTCAATGTTGAAACTTTTGAGGAAGGCTCTGATCTACAGGGTTAAAACCAGCACTGCTACTAATGCTGCTAAGTACCCTGCAAGTAAAGACTAGAGGACTGTGGCATAGTAACTAGGGATGATGAGAGTGGCTAGACTAGTAAATTTCCCAAATAGCAGCCTATATGCCAAGATTGGAGATAAAGCAAGCGGAGTGGCAAAGTCCTCACTCAGAGCCATTCAACCCAGGACAAATGCATATTCCGCTACATAAAACTTCAGAAATTCTCTGCCTCTCAAGAAAAGAAGAAAAGTTAATGGATAATGAAGTTTTCACTCTACAGAGCAAACCCAACCCACAAGTTTAACCTATACTTTTCATACTGCATTGCAGCACACATTCTAGAACCCCTGAACTAGATATTAGAAGTAACTCATTAACATATATCAGACTCATCACTCTGAATAGTTCATATCTATTGAGAAAATGTACTAAAATATATGCTTGGTTTGAGAAGACAATATAAATACACGGATATTTTTGGTAGTCCTAAACTATTTCTACCTGAATGATTAGTTACATACCTTCTGTAAAGAGGCTCAATAGTGATATGGATTAGCTTGCAAATAGCAAGGGCTATTAGTTTATGTGAAGCTGCATAGTACGGAGGCATCTGATCCATAATGTTCTGTGCATGCTGCCAATCGCCAATCTTTAATAAGGCTTCCAACAAACCAAGTTTTTGGTTGTCAGGTGGCTAAAAATGAATAGGCACAACAAAGATGCTTAGAATATAGACATCGAGCCAGGTATGGGGGTGCAAGCCTGTAATCCCAGCAACTCAGAAGACTAAGCAGGAGGATCGTAAATTCAAGGTCAACAACTGAGACACTGTTTCAAAATTAAAAATAAAAAGTGATGGGGATGTAGCTCAGTGGTAGAGTCCGCCTCGGCTCCCTCTCCATTGCCAGGGGGAAAAAAAAAAAGAAGGGGACAGGGAAGAAAACCAGGATCTGCTTTTCTATTTAGCAAACACAGGCATTACAGTTTATAAACTTAAAATTTAGTTCTACGTAATGTTATATTGTGCCACAGGGAGCTAGAATTCATTTATCTTTGAGAATCCCTTTACGATCTGAGAGGCATTAATATATAAGCATTACAATTTGTGATTTTACATGAAATACATTTTGAAATTTTTTAAAGAGCATCCTCTTTTGGGAAGATGCCATTCAGATTTTTTGTTTTGATTGATTCTTTTCAGTTATATATAATTTAAGTATACATTTTGACATAATCACAAAAGCATGGAATACAAATTGCCCTAATTCAGTCCCAAGTACTTCCCCCTCCCCCATCTTCCCTCTCCCTCATCCCCTCCCTCTACTGTTCTTTCTGCAATATATAGTATTTTTTTTCAATGTATGTCTTGTGGGTATACTTGATGTTGGGATTCACTGTGATATATTCATGTACGTGAATACAAAAGTTTGGACAGATTCATTCCACAGTTCTTCCCTTTTCCCATCCTTCCTTCCTCCACCTTAATCCCCTTCACATCTACTCATCTTTCCTCCATCTTGAAATTCCCTCTCCCTTTCATTTTCCTCTGACTTAAAAAAACATTTCTACAAAATAATTATCTCAAAAATCAAGTTTTAGAATGACCAAAATTAAGAAACCATGCTTACATAACTTGATTAACTATTATAAGTTAAATTTTATAATTCTAAATGAACAATGCTAGTCCTTTTTTTACTAGAATAAAATCATATTCTGGGGCTGCAGTTGTGGCTCAAGCAGTAGAGCACTTGCCTAGCATGTGTGAGGAACTGGGTTCCATCCTCAGCACCACATAAAAATAAATAAATAAAATAAAGGTATTGTGTCCATCTAAAACTAAAAAAAGTTTTTTTAAAAAATTATATACCTTATCTACTTTGTCCTCTTCTTTTTCCTTTTCTTTCTCTCGCTCATCAATTTTTTCAGAAGACAACACAACCATCGTAAGTTTTCTAACGATTTGCTTAGCTTCCACAATTTCTCGTTTGTGTTCATCCATAATGCAATTATCAGCTGGAAGAAGCTAAAAATGGTTCATTAGAATTTCATAAAACAGCTAATAAAAACTATTTGCTCACATAAAAAGCAAACAATATCTAGTCTCAAAATAAATATGTAAATTTTTTGATAAATTTGATAAAAAATGTAAATAAGTAGTCTACTTATTTGTGACTGTGATTTCCTATCTAAGTTTCACTCAATTCTTGAGTTTAACAATAAATGCAAGCAAAGTGTACCTTTTAGCTACATGAATTTTATACTTTAAAATCTTTTATACTTTAAAATCAGGTAGCATTTCAAAGTTCCAAACCTTCTATCTGGTAAAGGTCCTAAATTACTACTACAACAGTGATTCTTACCATTAAATTTATTAGTTTACCCCCCAAAAAATAAGGATCTTCTCCATTAAAAATATAACATTTGGGGCTGGGGTTGTGGCTCAGTGGTAGAGCACTTGCCTAGCACTTGCAAGGCGCTGGGTTTGATCCCCAGCACCAAATAAAAATAAATGAAGTATTGTGTCCAAATATCAAAATACGTGTGTGTATACACACACACACACACACACACACACACACACACACACACACACACCATTTTCTTTTTTAAAGATCAAACTCCAAATTAAGTACTGTATATAGATCAAATTTGGGAGAAGTGAGCTACTGTTGAATCTTTAAATGAAAATTATCAAGTACAAAAATTAATGATTAGACCTTTTTCCTTTTCTTCCCTTTGGTACTGGGGATTAAACTTAGGGTCTCACAACACACACTAGGCAAGTGCTATATCATTGGGCTATATCCCCAGCTCTTGTTTTTCATTTTCTAAGAATTTTTTTGACCTAAGTCACAAACTAGTTTGTAAATTTTTGCAAAGAGAAATTGTGTAGATCAAATCTCCATTATGAAAAAGGTTCAGGTAATCTGAAGTACAGCCACACTGTATGAGTGGAAGACAGTAATGTAAACATTAAATATAATAACTCCAACAAAGAAAAATACAATCAACAAATTATTACTTAATAGTTTCTGGCAGGTACCTATGATGAGCTACAAGAGAAGTACTACTACCCCCCAGGAATATATGATCTAATTTAATAACTAAGACTAATGCAAAGTAAACAATAAAAGGCGAAATATTAAATATTGTAGACTCCATCCTGTTATTTGGAAAAAGGGAGAGAGAAAAGTCATTATGGAATGGTGGAAAGAGGAAATCAAAGACTTTCTCTCATTCTGTGTGGCAAACACATCCTTATTGCTTCACTTATATGCCTAGCCTATATTCTTCTCTCTTATCTGGACTACAGCAACTGCCTCTAAAGGGCAAACTATATGCTTCTTATAGTTATCTCAATTACTAGTTTTCTATTTTGAGAACATGTTTTTGAGTATAATATAAAGTTAGAACTATTTTGTCTTCCTAGTGAACACAATTTTATTATGATGAAGTGATCCTTTTATCTTTTTTTAACCAGAAAGTCTCTTTTTTCTAACAATAATAATTTCTCTGATTTATTTTTCTCACTCTTTTACTTTCAATACTTTTTTATTGTTGGGTTTTGGCTGTGTCTCACATAAACAATAAACTGGTTTTTAGATCCTATTCTGACAACCTTTGCCATCTTAACAGAAACACTTGGTCTGCTTGAATTTATTGTGAAACAAATTAGTACTAAATCATCATTTTAAATCTTCCATTTGTTATACCAGACTACTATATATCCTCAAATTCTCTCTTTTCTGGCCAATTTTTCATTCTCGGTTTGTAAATCATTTCTCTTTAAATTCTAAATAATTTTAAATAAAGGTATTGTGTCCATCCAAGAGAAAAATCCAAACTCCTGGCTCGGTGCACTAAAAGCCCTTCTTATAGTTTAGGCCCTTCCTATAGTTCTCTATCCTCAATCCTTGTACATAACACCCCTAGGCTCCAACCACTCTCTCTAAGCTTCCTAAAGGATCACTTGCCTTTATACTCAGTTAATTCTACCTATAGAGCTTGTTACCTTTTAAACCTGATCAACTCCTACTCATCTATCAAGATTTTAGTTCAACATCACTAGTTTGGAAGAGTCTTCCAGCACTACCCTGCAACACACAAAGTGATCCCACAGCATTTTGTGAATATCTCCAATAGAGTACTTAATACACAATGCAAATTTTTTTATCTTCCTTGCTAGACTATGACTGTTTCCAAGGTAGAAACCAACTTTTACTACACATCATAGCCACAGTATACAAAAATGGGAAAGGAAGTTTATAAAGATACTTCAAAGTCAGGAAAAATGATGTTAGCTTTGGACTAAATTAAGTCCATAAATATCCTAATGCAAAACCTAATAAAACAATTTTTACACTGCAAACCTGGCTTTGTCTAAACTAGAGGTCTTCTATCACAATCACAGACTCTTCTAAATCTTGGATCCAGCAATAAAAGCACAATAGTAGTCACTTATTACACAGTAAAATGATAGGAAGAGTATTTTTTAAAATACTAAAAAGAAAAATAGACTAATGGAGTTCCTCATTTGTCTTGAATGCCTAAGATTAAAGCACTGCAGATAGAAGAAAGACGTACCTAGATAATTTCACATTTCCCATAATCTGTATCTAGTAGAAAAACCTAAAATCACATTGGGTCAGAACTTTGCCTTTTTCACCATGATATACAACTTGATGATGATTTAAAGAACTGAAACTTCATATCCAACCTTGATTTTTATAGACCATATAATTTCCATTGTTGGCCAAATAATTAAATGCACCACTTTATATAGTACATGCAAAGCAAAAATGTATTAGGGATTCAAAAAAAGACAACTTGCAATCCTAGAACCAAACTTGGAAGTGCTACATGGCTGCCTACTCCTCTTCCCCACCCCTGGGATGGACAACCAAATATTCTTAGCAGCCCACTTGACTTACATGTACATAAAGATCATCTAAATCAATAAGATTAAATTGCAGAAGTACTGCTGCAACTCTGTATAAAGATGATGGAGTCTCCCCATTTGGTTCCTTAAAAAACAAAAGAAAAGTTTCTACTCAGTATATAAAGCACAACAATTAAAATCAGATTTTTTATTAACCAATAATAAAAACAATTAGATTGAATAATTCAAGAATATACTTCATTGCTCTTCCTTAGCATACCAAACACTGAATTTAGGACAAAGATTATTTTGTCAGCATCCCTTTTCACATTCCAACATCTGATGAACAAAAGGGAAAACAGTTTCAAAAATAGACACCTTTTACAATGCATGCTAATATTTAAATAAAATCTAACAAGTGAGATTTTTATACTGCATAATATTTTGTCTGCATTTCTGTTTACACATACGTTTTCATAAATTGCTTTTTCAAGTAGTTCTCTCAGTAGACATGCAGATAGATAAGGCCGACAAACTTGGAAGTGCATCAGTATTTGATTTGCAATTTCCCCTTACACTTTTATTTCTTGGGTTATATATTAAGTGTAGCTGCTTTCCCACTGACTTCCCCTTTAAAACAAGTATCTACACAAATTACAGATGGATAAGTTACAGAATGGCAAAGTCAATTTCAGGCCAGCCGTGAGTCCCCTACAGAGAAACACAAGGATCTTGGAATGGTGCCCATTTTTTAAGATAATTTTTAAACTGCTAGGATCAGAGGAATAAAAAAGTGTAGTCAGAATAATAGGCAATACTGTAAATAAAATATAAATGAAAAGCAAAGAGTAACAACACACTATCCTATTATGCTACTCAATAATGAACAGAAAACCTCTGTAGCTAAGACTCCTTCCATAGTTGTGATGGGTACTGTGAATATAAAATATGAAAATAACCAAACTAATACACTCCATTTAAAGAAGGCATTGTTACACTTTATTTTTTAAGACAGATAAGATAATCTTTGATTTAACAATAGTGTCCTGGTTTCAAAATGATTATTTAGTATCAAACATTTTATTTTTTTAGAGAGAGAGAGAGAAAGAGAGAGAGAGAGAATATGAGAGAATGAGAATGAATTTTAATATTTATTTTTTTAGTTTTCAGCAGACACAACATCTTTGTATGTGGTGCTGAGGATCAAATCCGGGCTGCACGCATGCCAGGCGAGCATGCTACCGCTTGAGCCACATCCCCAGCCCACAAACATTTTTTAATAAAAACAAATGGTGGTCAGGATATCAAAACAAACTCACAAAAACTTACTGACAACTTCCCCTCTACTACCTGACTTGAAAGCACAAGTACCACTTTAACTATTCTCTTTATCCTTGTTTATTAAACAAATTACCACAAGAAATCACAGACTCAGAGGTCAAATATCAACTCCCATACTCTGATCCCTATATTATTCCACACAATCCCAATTCTGTCCTATTTCACTTTTCCACATTCTTAAAATACTCCCATGGAATCCTCTGAAATTCATGATCACAACTCAGCAAAACACCCTATATTCTGACCTCTCCTCTAAATGTTCCCTCTACCTTGATGCTTGAATAGAGAGCTTGGCTCACTCTGAGAACACCAATGGCATAGTAACCCTCATACTATCAAGCCTGGGTTAATGTAGGAGCATTATTTCCATATTTCCAGCCAGTTCTCCCTCCATCCTCCCTAAAGCCTTTTCAGCTTTGAATTCCATATCACTCACTACCCTTCATTATAGCTATAATCTAATTTCATTCTATTGTAGTTAGAAGATACTTTGTGTGATTTCAATTAAGTATCGTTTTGGTCGGGTGTTGTGGCATACACTTGTAATCCCAGTGGCTCAGGAGGCTGAGGTAGGAGGCTCACAAGTTCAAAGCAAGTCTCAGCAACTTAGCAAAGCTCTGTCTCAAATTAAAATATAAAAAGAGCTGGGATTGGGGCTCAGTAGTTATGCACTCCTGGGCTCAAATCCCAGTAGCCACCCCCCCCCAAAAAAAAGACTTGTTTTGTAATCTGATATATGGTCTATGCTGGAGAAGATCCCATGTACGTTGAGAAAAATATATTCTGTTGTTGAGCATTCTATACATGTCTATCAGACCTTATTAGCTTATTGTTCAAATCCTTTATTTCCTTACTTTTGTCTAGTTGTCTTAACCATGAATGAAAGCAGGATATAGAAGTGTCCTATGATGATAACTTTCCTCCAATTCTATCAATGTTTTCTTCATATACTCAGGAGACCTGGTATTCAGTACATATATGTTTATACAACTATTATATCTTCATGATATGTTGTCCATTTTATCTATAAAGTCCTTCATTATCTTATAAATATTTTTGCCTTGAAGTCTGTTTTGTCTGATATTAATCAATTCATCCCAGCTTTTTTCTCAATACTGCTTACATGGAATAACTTTTTCAATACTTTCACTTTCAAATTTTGTATCTTTTTGCTATAAACTGAGTTTCTTACAGAAAACACATTGCTGGATCACACATTCTGCCAAATTCTGCTTTATATAAAACTATTTGAAACTATTTAAAGTGAGTTTTGATCTATTTACATTTAAAATAATTACTGATAAGCACAAACTACTGGTATTTTCCTATTTATTTTCATACTTTTTTGTTCCTCATTTCCTCCATTACTGTCCTCTCTCATGTTTGATTGCATTGTGAGTATGTGCCATTTTTATTCCTTCTTTTCCTTTTCGGTTTTTTCCCCTTAGTGATTACCTTGGATATTGCAATTAATATTTAAACTCAGAACAATCTAGTTTGAATAAATACCAACTTAGCTTCAATGGTATTTTAAAAAGTCTATACATATACATCTCTCCCTCCCTCCTTCCCTCTTTAAATTGCTAGTCACAAATCACATCTTCATACAGTATGCCACTTACCAGATCAATAATTATTGTTTTATGTCTTTTTAAAAATCATACAGGGAAAAAAGAGGAGTTATAACCAAACATATAATAATACTAGCTTTTATATTTTACTTATGTAGTTACCTTTGCCAGTGTTCTTTATTTTCCACATGGCTTCAAGTTATTGTCATTTCAACATGAAAGACTGTTTAACATTTACTATAGGGCAGGTCTATTAGCAACAATATCCCTTGGCTTTAGTTATCAATATTTCTCACTTTTCAAACATAGTTTTGCAAAACAGAATTCTTGACTTAGTTTTTTCCTATATGCCATTATATTTACCTTCTAATTTCCATGGTTTCCAAAGAGAAATCAGATGTCAACTTTACTAAGGATCCCTTGCATTGATGGGTATCTCTCTTACCACTCACAATATTCATTTTTTTTTAAAAAAAAGAGAATTTTTTTAATATTTATTTTTTAGTTCTTGGTGGACACAACATCTTTGTTTGTACGTGGTGCTGAGGATCGAAGCTGGGCCGCACGCATGCCAGGCGGGGGCGCTAAGGCTTGAGCCACATCCCCAGCCCCACAATATTCATTTTTTATCTTAGTCTTTTAAAAACTTTAATGTCTCAGTGTGGATTTTTAAGTTTATCCTGCTTGATCTTCACTGAGCTGCTTAGACGTGTAGATTTATATCTTTCATCAGATTTGGGAAGTTTTCAACCATTATTTCTTCAGATATTCTTTCTGTCCCTTTCTCTCTCTTCTTCGTCCAGGATTCCCACGATGCATATGTGGTACATCTCACGGTATCCTCTTAGGCTCAGTTAATTTTCTTCATTTTTCATCTCTTTCTGCTCCTTATACTGCATAAACTCACTTGATTTATCGAGTTGGCTGACCACTCCTTATGCCTGCTCAAATATACTGGTGAACCACTTTGGTGATTTTTCCATTTGAATTACTATACCATTCAACTCCAGAATCCGTCTTTGGTTCCTTTTCATAATTTTTATCTTTTTATTGTTATTATCTATTTGGTGAGGCAGTACTCTAGTTTTCATAAGCATGTCTGCATATACTGATTTAAATACTTTATTTGGTATGTCTGGGCTTTCCTCGGACACAGTTTCTAATAATTTCTTTTGTCTTATGAATGAGCCATACTGTCTCTCCATGCTTAATTAGTTCTTACTGAATACTAGACATGTTGAATGTTATGTGAAAACTCTAGAAATCAGATTCTCCACCCCATCCCCAAAGATTTGTTGATAGTGCTTTGCGTGGTTTATTGATGTTATTAATAGTGACTTTACTAAACTTTTTGCAAAGTCTATATTCTTTGTCATTTGTGGCCCCTGAAATCTTTCTTTTAACTTAGTATCCAACTAGTAGACTGACAATTTTCTTTAAGATCTGTAGCAAACAAATGGGGGAGGAACACTCCCAGTCTTTGACGACTGATACAGTGTAAAGGCACTGTTTTGCCAGGCCATTTACAATTCTGCCTTAGTCTTCACATCCTGTTTGATCACAGCATACCAACCAAAGGAGAAAGCTTAGGGTCTTCTTAGGCCTTTTCTAACCATGTGTTTAGCTCTGGGCACGGCATGGCCTTCTCAACTTCCTGGTATATGCAAAAGCTTTATAAAAGTCCTTATTTTCCCATCTATCTCCTTTTCTAACTTCCCATCTATCTCCTTTTCTAACTTCTTCCCTCTCAGGCTTCTAAATCTCCCTGCTATTTGTCTCAATTTGCTCTAGGCTGCTACAGCCAATAGTTGTGCCTTCAAATTGGCAAAAGCAGCCCCAGCCATGGGAAAACACTTAGTTAAAGGAAACAAAGGCAGGCCACCAAGCTGGTCCTTCAGGGAGCAGCCAGACAGATGGAGACCCATAAATACAATTCTTTGAACATAATACTTTGCTCCCTCTGACATTAGCAACCTGCACCAGAAGTGTGGGATTCTCTCATTACAATTACTGTTGATTTGGATATGGAGAAGAGTAGGCAGACAATTAAAATGTCATAACACTCCTTTACCCCACAGTTACAGCTTCATTCTTCAAAAGCCTTTCCCTGGATGTTATAAGATTTTTTACTAGATTTTAGAGCTCTGCAAAGTTGACAGTTTTTGCCAGTTCATTAGTTGTTTCTGTAGAGGGACACAGCTCTAGATTTCCCTACTATGTTATTTTCAGTCAT